GGAGACCCTTGCGGGAGGGCTGTGGGGGCGCCCTGCGCCGTTAGCCGCGGCAAGCGGGACGCTCGGCCCGGGGCGAGGGTCTCCCTGCGCCCGCGTTGCTGCCTCGGGCAGCCCGAGCCTGGCCCCGTGCAGCCGTGCGTACCTTGTCCTGCGCGCGGGATACTTCATATCGCTGGCCGCGTTTCCTAGGTGGCCGCGGGGCGTCGTTTCCCCGGGAGTTTGGCTGCCAGAGCTCTCTGCGTCGCTGGCAGCCAAATCCAAGATGTAGGTGGGCGTAAGCTCGCAGGACCTGGGCTGAGCAACCAGCGGAGTCATTTCTGACCCGGAGCGGGTCCCTCTGAAGGTCATCACCTGGCATCAAGCAGTGTAAATATTTTTTTAAGCCCAGGGCTAATTTTGCTATCGTTACTCTCCATTCTGAAGAAACAAGCTGTGGAAGAGGTGCTGTTTTCTGCCTCTGTCTTCCCTGCCACTGCAGGTTAGCAGAGCAAAGGGATGAGCTAAAGAGAAGAGAGAGGTAGTCCCCAGTGTTGCTTAAAGGTCTGCCTCTGTTCCTGGTAGCAGCAGTGGTCTCGGCTTTTTCTGCTCTGGGAAACCAGTTTTCCAGTCGTCTACGTTAAATACAGTTACAGTTTAGTAAAACTATTTACTTAGTGCCCGCTAATGATGAGGAGCTGGAGTTAAAGACAATGCATTTGTTTATATACATGTATATAGATACATATATATGAATATGAACCATTGTTGTATAAGTGTCTAAGTTGAGATCATGTGCATTTCATTTTATATAAAATCAAAAAGCTAAAGTTCCCTGATGGCAAAGGATCTGTTTCCAATGCCTGGACCTCTGCAACCGCTGTCATGAGTCACCTTTATTTTGTGCTTGTCACTTGTACCAAGGTGCATGGTTGAAGGTAGCTTTGGCCAGGCTGCCTTGGGTTCAGACTGACTGCTGCATGACCAAAACAGGAACAAGATTTGCTGGTAAAGCGTCTGCTTCATCTCCCTCCACTACAGCCTGTGGAGCAGTTGACAGCGCGAAGGTCAGCACCGGTATGGCTCTGTATGGGTAGCCCTCCCCAGCAACATAGATAGGATGCTGCACAGTGGAATTTATTATTTTCTCCCCCAGAGTTTAGTGAGGATTGTTCCCCATCCTCCCCACAGTTGCGTTTTTCCTCTTCTCCCTCCCCCTCAATCTGCACCAAGCTGATAACTGGATGCATGCGGCTTGGCACAGTACAGAGGTTGCTCTGCAATCTTGATTTACTTCCTTGTGCATAAAGCTTTACAACAGCATCTTAACTCAGATTATAGCTCCCCATGAGATGGGGTTTTCTGCTGTTACACAGGGTTGAACTTTTCAGAGGAATAAGTTAGAGCTCAGAACTTCAATTCTGGCTGAGTTTGGGCAGTGAGGTGGGGCTGTGGGAATGAAGGAATTTTCTCATTCATAATTAAGGCAGTTAAGTCCCATTTTACAGAGCCGAGTTCATATGCGTTGCTAGGCAAGCCTCTTCTACCAGACTTTCCACTGTTGTATTTTCACTCCTGCTTAGGTCCCCCTGGATCAGACTTGCCGAATTTCGAATAACACGAAGATAAGTGAGCACGAACTGTACTTTGGGCATATCAGCCGGTCTGTAATGTCATATACCTCAAAAAGTCAGGCATTTCAACCCCAAAATTGATATACTCTTGTTTCCTCCCCTCTTTACATATGAAGTGAGGGTAGTATCACCTTGCTGATGGAAAGCTGTGGAAATAAGTGCTTAAGAGGCACTATCACTAAACGCTGGTGATGGTGAAACTAATAATTCAGTTTCAGACTAGTGTGTGGATAGGATGCAGTAAGCAATATGAGGCCTCATGTTAACAGCAAGCATGTTAAAAGTGGCTTCCTTTTTTTGAATATTCATTTATGTTTATGACAATGAATGTGAACGGCTTAGTACTGAGTGAAATTAGGACACATAGGAGACTCTCCTTCTGTGATGCTTTGTGTATCGCTTGTTGTTTCAATCCACTTATGCTGGAGAGAAGGGAAAAAGAAGTGAATTAATGTTCGTTCTTGCTTTGTTTTGTAAAACTCTGTGGGCTTTACAAAAGATAAAGGGCAAACAAACAACTTCTGCCTCACTGAATTGGCCCTAATTTTCCTTGGTGGAAAAAAAAAGGGATAGCAAAGTTATCCCTCCCTAAATCGTTTGTTGCTTGGCTCATAGTGCTGTTTTGGTGTTCTGGTGTGGTTTATCCAAGTCATAAGCAGGAGAAGCTGTAGCCATGCCAGACTCTGAGTGCTGGGACATGCTGCACCTTTTGGCGTAACTTGCTGCGTTTCACCAGCTGCTGGTCTGTAGAGCATGAGATGGAGCTGGCAGGAACGGGCTTGTGGAAGGTATGACTGGTGAAAACGCCTGCTCACTTCTCACTCGGGGATTATGCCTCAGAGGAGAAGATTGCGGCTCCGAGCCAGAGCATCTCTCTCCAGCTTGGCATTTTTCACAGTTTTTATCACTGATTTATAGAAAAACTGGTGCTAGATGTGGTTTGGGAACTGCAGCCGCCCTAGAGAAAAAGACTGTCACCTAAAATCCCAAGTATGTGAGAAATAAATGAATAAGGAGCAGTGCAAAACTGATAAGACACAAAGAAATTGTATAGGACAGTAATGAGAAATGTATGAGCTTGTCTCTCTGCTCATTATTAAATTAGATATTTGTTTTACTCGGCAGATCACTAGCAGATGGCTGATCTGCTGCAGAAGAACTTCTACTGAAATTACATGTTCCAAAGACGGTTTAAGAGACTCCGTAAGCAGTAGCCTCAGCGTTAGCGAAGGTTAAGGACTGAGGGAGCACCAACATAGCTCTTCCTTCATTATCCTAACACTGTAATAAAGTGATTGTAACTTGTACAGAGGAATTGGCCATAACTAGATACCGTTAATAGTAAATTAACTGATTCTGGGGTAAATCATCTGGCTAACATGAAATTATCTCTCTCCATATAAGGTTAGGCAATGTGCGTCTTGGCTGTTTATAATCAAGCTTCACTTGTGCTTTGTTAAGCAAAGTTAGTATACGGTTACATAGTTATACGTTAGTATATCGGGGGCTGCTGCGTGAGTTAAGGTTATGTGATAGATCCAGACTCAGGGCTGGAACAATAATTAGCTGGACAATTATTTATATTTAGCAGATTGGTCTTATACTGAAAAAAATGTGTGAACTTTCATTCGCTTGCTGCCTCATCTGTGTAACTGGAATCCAGTCTCTTGGGACACATATTCCTGTCTGGTCGGCTTTAGTTCCAAGGCTCTGCCCAAAGGGAAAAAGTGAAAAAGGATACTCCAGAAAAAGCTGAAAAGGATGAAATATTCCTTTATATAAATAACTGTTCCCCTCCCCCAAATAAAATCCATAACTGTGAGCTCTTTAAGGCTGTTATGTTGGGTCTCTCCAGCAGACAATCAAGTATCCTGGCATACAAGGACCCTGGACATTTGTGAAGGGCATAGTAGTAATAAAATGCTGGATAAAAGTATGACTTAACTTGAAGGAATCGCTCTGAATAACACTGCACTTACTAACTACAAATCAGTCTTGTAGAACACTAGTTCTGCAGGGGGTAGTGCCAAATTTATTTTAAAAGCAGGGTTGGCTACTCACTGGTATTAGCCCAAATCTTTTTGGAGGCTGGGCTTGCTTTTCCGTGCTGCTATAAACGGGGAGAGGTTGCATACAGGCTTTTTTTAAGGGTAAATCTACTAAAACAGAGGTTTCCTGGTGTGAAAAGTGACTTCTCTAACTCCCCACTGGCAGCAAAGCAGCATTTATCATCCTGTCATGGAAGGTGATTCCCAAGGTCATGTCTGCTTGGAAGCCTGCCTTGATTTGTGCTCCCATTGCAGTGACCTTCATGGTTCACTGCAAGAATGCACAAATCCAGTCTCAGCTGGTAAAATAAGAGAAGCTGAGGTTATTTCATGAGATGGCACAAAGTTTCTGCTGGTTTTAAATTTCTGAGAGTGCTTAAAAGTTTCTCATTAATGATTCTTAAAGGAAATGAACCACTATGGAGGAGGAGGGAAGTTTTTCCACTAATTAATACTTGGTTAAAGTGTAGGACGACCTGTTAACTCTTCCCGTGGTGAAAAATCATCAGTGAAATCCCAGGGGGATATGTGCTTAGGCTTGTGTTGCTCAACATAGTTATAAGTGATCTGGGAAAGAGGTTAAATAGTGAAGTGACGGCATTTGCTGAGAATTACAAAATTAGGGTAACAGAAACAAAAGGTGACCGGAGTAGCAGAGAGCTCTCACTGTACTTCGTTGTGAGCAAGTGATACTTGATACCAATAGACACAAAATAATGCGTGTAGTGAGAAACAACTAATTGCATCTGTACAGTGATGAGGTGTGAAGAGTCTGTGCTGTTCAGGGCAGATAAACTCACTGCAACTCACTCAGCACCGGGCAAAGAACAGGAAGAGGAAATAAAACAAATGTCATGGTGCAAATCCAGCCCTCCAGTGAAGTATCCTGCATCTTTGCCCTTTTCTCTTGTTCTTTGGCCACTGGCAACAAGCCGCTGTAGGAGCCAGAAACAGTTGTCCCTGTTTTAATCCTGGGGGTGGGACTCAGCTAATTTAACTGTGGCCATCTGAAAGCTGGATGGGTTTCTAAGCTCAGTGGGGTGATCTGCCTTTTTGAGGTGCATGCCTGATGCCACTGCCTGCAGAGAGGACCTAAATATTTTGCTCCTAGGAGGCAATTTAACATAGGCAAATCCCATTTCTATTGCTCATATTTTTATAAGAACACTGACAATATGGAAAGACTTCGGAAAAGAGCTGCAGTGATACCTTTGAAGACATCTTTCTTCCAGACTTAGGAGTCTCTGCCAACCCTGGGAAAGGCTAAAACATGATTTCATTATAGTAGGTCAGTACTTGTAGGTAAGGAAATGTCCCTTCCTAAAGGATTCTTCAGCTTTGCAGCAAGAAAGTCTGATGCTTCTTTGCTGGAACCTGGTGTTGAATTGGAAATCAGAAATAATGACACTAACATTTTTGACTATAGCTGAAATCTGTGTATGTGTGTGCATCACTCCTGGCCAAGGGGCCTGAAAATTGAGCACAGCTGGCAGTTCTCATATAAGTCCTATGTACAAAACCAGCACCTCACATGTCCTTTTGGTAGGACATCAAAATATGCTCTGGGTTGTATATGTAAGAAATAGTTCCTTCTGGAATTCCTGAGCACTGAATGAAAAGTTACAGCTTTTTAGAATTCTGCTCAAACTATTTGGGAAGGTAAATTGTGCAAGTAAGAGCAAATTGTAAATTATAAAAACCCTTTCGTGGGGTTCAAACTGGTCCATGTTAACAGTTTATTTTAGCATGTCTGTTGAGTTCAAAAGTGGATTTTGTGCAAGAATTTCCTACCAGCTCTACTGCTGATGGAGCTCCACCATGACCAGAGCATTTGTTGATGTTCTTAATATTTGGGCTTTTTTTCTAAGATTTTTTTTTGTGAGTGATTATATCTAAAATTGTACAGAATTGCCTGTTGTAATTACACCCCGTCCATTCTGGTGTTCTTACCATTCTTGGCTAAAAGGTCAACAGATTCTTCATATATCAGATGAAGTTCACTAGGTCAGGGACTCATTTATGGCCTAGCAAAAGTAGAACTTCAGCTGGCAAGATGCTGTGAGGCAGGAGTTTTGGAAATTAGAGTGGAACCCAATGTCTGCATCTGTTCACTTCAAGCATGCATTCGGTGATTTTTGTTGTAGATTTTATTCTGTAGCTTTGAGAACTAATTTAAACTTTGTGTGTCAAGGTGATTTCAACTGAGTTCTTTGTAAGGCGAGGAAGAGAAGACAAATATGAACCCAGTGTCTCTGTATTTTAGAGAAAACCTTTTGTTCTGATTTGCTGGGGTGACTGTTAGAGCCTCTGCTCCAAGCTCCAGCTCCCAAGAGACTGTGAAGCCCAAGGAAAAAGCAAGTTGGGTGTTAGGTGACGTAGCCACTGCAAGGGCCAGAGGGCCATTGGAGCAGCGCCTGCTCATCTGTGTGGCCAGAGACCCTTTGGCCTTCGTGGAGTTTGGCTCAACATCAGCTCCTTCACGAACTCCAGCAACTGAGCGAGTTGCATCATCTGTTCTGATCTCCCTCCTCAAATTCTGCATTTGCACGTGTGCTTTTTAACCTTAAAATTTACTATATGCTGACATGAGCCAGATTGCAAAAAAATCATGGAAAATCATGATACATTTTGGGATTGGCTACTATTCTGTGCTGTTAATTTGAATTAAAGCTCGTGTAAGAGAAGAAGGATGCATCTCCCCCCCTACCCTTTATTGGATGAAATACTGCAGATTGGTGGAAAGATGTGTTTTATAAGAATACATCGTTTGTTTCTTGCCTGCTTTTGTCTTGTATAATGAATAGAATTGGTGATAGGGCTGCAAGAAGATTTTTTTTGCCTAATTTGAAGCTTGCAGAGCAGTAGAGGTCTGTGCTGTAGCTTTCTAGATCACAGCTTGCAGGAACGTTCTCATGCCAACAGATTGTCATTGCTCAGTTACTTCACTCCAGCATAATCTTTACATGAATAGAATTTCTTGTGTGTTTTATAGAATAACCTTTTATATCATTAGCATCTGCAATAATTTTTTCCCTTGGAAAGTGATTCATGTCTTGTAGCAGATAGGGA